TAATAGCCTCTCTCATAAGGGGGTAGTAGTGATGCTTACACAAAGCAAGTTCTTATTATTTTTTTACTATCCACAAATTAAAGCAGCTCGACTAGTGAGTGCGGTTTGGGAAGAAAAAAAAAAGGGGGGGGGGGGTTGTTTAGGAAACGTCAGCGTAACAAATAAATTCTAGGTAATAGCTAAAACTAATAGCCTCTCTCATAAGGGGGTAGTAGTGATGCTTACACAACTTTTTTTATTTAGGATAAGGGTGGTCGACACAACATTAATTGTCCCTGTCCAACACCTTGTCGGTTAAGCACTAGCACGATCAAAGTCGCTGGTGGGACATTGTAGAAGGAGAGAATCCACAAAGGTGCTTTCTTGTAAAGGGTTTTATTGTGAGCTTTCCGCACGCAGTGACCATACTGAGACTTATTTCATCATCGCGGACACGAGGACAACTTTCCCTTACGTAGAAATTACACACACTTCAACTAGTGGTAAAATAAAGATGGAATAAAATAAAGTAGAGAAAACTCTAATGCTAATCAAGTTGTATTCATAGAATTCGAGATTTAACGATAAATTAGGAAAGTATCATAAGAATTTTTTTTACAGTATACAAATTCTTGTTACACCACTTACTGAACCCAAGACGTTGGCAAGGAATAAGGTTATTAGCTGCTGTTTTTACTGCTTCAAATAAATAAGAAAAGACGTGCAGATATTCTCAGTTACGCTTAATGGGTGATTTTTTAACAGATTTTATTTTTGCAATTTACAAGAATTAAGTAATTTTGTTCATTGTTTTATTGGGGGGGGGGGGACTGTGGTGGTGAGGGGGAGGGGGATCAGCCTTTTAACAGCTGGAAGACTTATGGCAAAAATAATTTTAAATAAATTTTTTATAACAAATAATTATTATGTAGGTATATATGCATGACTGTAATGATATGTTCAATAGGTGCATTCATTAAAAACTCCTAGAATCTAGCAATAATTGGTATTCATAAAATGTGTTTTACTTGAGTTCATGTTTGACTAATAGATTGAATGTTCTCGTATTGCCGCCATTATTTTCTGGTAGGTTATTTCTATTTCATAAAAAGAATTAAAATCATCATATAGAATCACCACAGCTCAAAACCTCTTGAAGTTACCAAGATGAAACTTGGCGCAAGTGATCTGTAAAATATTATTTTTGACCCATCTGGAGTATTTCCTTATTAATAAAATACTTTTGGCTATGCTTTTATTACTTGAATATCATAAAAAGAAGGACATACATTTATGGAAGTTATCGTAATAATATTTTCGTTTATTAAAATGTAAGACAAATAATGATATCTTCTCAAGCTGCTCTATGAAGAGGACAAGTGATTCTTGAAAATGGCGCCAACCAATAAATGGAAAAGAAATGCTGCAGGGGGCAGAACAGTGCAGAGAAAATGTTTGTGACACTTATCTTTGTGAAGTAAATAAAATTGTATTGTTCAATTCAAGATTAATACTCTATCGCAAACGATTTTGGCCATGCAGCTCATGGCATGAAAAGAGATTAGAATTATTAACAGACGTGCAAAATTTCAACTTAGGTTTTTAAAAACGCCAGCATTGACTGGCTTGCAAGCGTCTTTATCCAATGGTTTATTTTTAGATGTGTATCTCAATGTTTTGGCTACGTTAGGCTTCAACTCTCCTGTTATTTGAGGCCAAGGTTTGTTCCACTTCAGCAGTTCCAAAACCCTATTTTATACGAAGCTTGAAAGGGTGGCGAAATAAAATTGTCATGGCAAAGCGCCAGCCTTACCTCAGAAACCGGTTTTTCCTATTTGTCCATTTTATGAATAGTATTGCTCGACACACCTCAAGTAAAAGAATTGTCAAAGAAATGCCAAAAAAAAGTTTAAAAAACAACACGAAACTAAATTGAGTGATAACGTCATTTATTATTTAGATGTATAAATATCAAGTGTTCAAAATTACAATCATTATTCTTTATCTCTGTGAGCCCCCCCCCCCTTATAAAGCAAACTAATTTATATTTTAGATATGTTCTCCTGAAAAATGTCTGGCTGTCACATAATATGTTAATCGCGTTTTAAATGGAAAATATTAAATATTTATTCTGTACACAACAACAATAGTTAAAGTTGTGTCTTATGCTTAATCATTAATGTGTAAACGCAAAGTCAACAAGTAATAAAAACCATTAAAGTTAACAAAATATTCAACTCAAATGTCAAGGCACTTCTTCTGTGTGGCTGTGAAACTTAGAGAACAACAAAAACAATCATTCGAAACTGCAGGTTTTTATAAACAGATGCTTGCAAAGGATCTTGAAAATAAAGATATTTTGAAGAAAAAAAAATGTAACACTGGCCATTGGGAGAGAACATCGTATTCCGGTGGAAACGGAGATAAAAATGAGAAAAAGTAGATGGATAGGGCACACATTAAGGAAACCTAAAACTGACATCACAAGACAGGCTCTGAACTGGAATCCTCAAGGTACCAGGAAAAGAGGAAGACCGAGAGCCACGTGGAAGAGGGGAGCAGAGACAGAGGTGAAGAGAATAAAGAAAAGCTGGGCTGAACTAACAAAAAAGATAGCCCAGGACAGGGATGGAGGGAAAACTATTGTGGGTGGCCTATGCTCCATTGAGAGTGAGAACGGCTAAGACAAACAAAAAAAAAAAACATGCTCACTAACTAGTTAGCCTCATAAATTTGGTGTCAGTTCCACTGGCGGAAAAGAAATTCTTTCTGCACTAATAGCGTCCTACTGGGCACGAAACTTGGTTACAACACTCATGGGCGCCCGCAGTGGGGGCAAGGGGGCACTTGCCCCCCCCCCACCCGATAGATTGGATAAAAAAATTTTAGACAAAAATAGACAAAAAATGTATTAAAGTAAAGAGAAAATAAAGAGAAAGTAACTAAGCTGATGTCCCGTCCGTTCGTTCACCATACAATTACGCTACAGTAAATTAAAACTACATTAAAACATTACTAAAAAAATTTTGCCCCCCCCCCCTGGAAAGTTAATCGATTTGTTTGCCCCCCCCCCTAGAAAGTTTTCTGAGGACGCCCATGATAACACTTACCTTTTAAAAATTACTGATTTGAACTATTATTATGAATTATATTTTATATTTTAAAAAAAACACACACAAAAAACTAGCTGATATATCGGTGATTTCCGGGATTGCATTCTGTAAAAAACAAAAAAACCGTGTAATCTTTTTAGCAAACATTGAAATTAATTGCGTTGTAAAAAATCTTTAAAAAAGGAAGAAAAGTAAAAAAATAAAAATGTGTATCCCAAAAAAAGGGTTCCCGCCCCGCTGCTCAGTTGATCTCAAATAACGTTGTTTTGCCATTCCTTTTTGCGGTGCCGTTACAAATGGCAGTCATTTTGTTCAATGGGATCCTATTCCCTGGTGTTGTGGTCCCAATCCCCGGTGGGATCCAATCCAAAGTGGGATAACTTTCCGGCATCGAGACCCTTTCCAAAATGAGATTCTATTCCCCGTTAAGATCCCGTTGTCTGTTATGATAACATTATTTTTTTATTAAAAAACTTCAAAGGAAAGTATAGTAATCGTTTTAACTTAAAATATAGATTTACATAAACATTTAGATATCAAAATATTTCCCAATTGAAAAGTATAGAACTTTCTTTAAAAAATTATATATTTCATTTAAATAATACTATGCAGCGTAATCACGTTTCTAAAACAAAGAATTCACACAAAAAATGCCATTACTACTTCCACTTAAAATTTAATTTAAAAAGGAGGACCATTAATAAAGGGCAATTATATTGATGTCTATCGTCTTTTAAATGAATATTTCGTGAACGTTTTACACTGGACACGAATTAGGATGTCAATACATTGAAATCAATCGAAATTTCAAAAAGTTATAAAGGTTATAGTTACCAAGCTCAGCCTATATTCACGTATAGCCCCATAAATTTGTCTAGGGCTAATTTTCTTATATAAGGTATAAAAGATTTTTGCACCCTTGGCCGCGAAAGAGTAAATAGTACTAGTCCAATTCTCTTCTGTATTTCAACATGTATAATAAATTGTTTTCGTGCTAGGTTTGGTATCAATTCATCTGATAGATTAGATTACTAAGATAGCAGCCCCATATATTTCATTCACATGACTTGTAAAATTTAAAAACAGAAGTCATCAGATTAAAATCAGTTGAAAATTCAAGATTTAGAGGGGCGTGTCAAGTAATTGATGCCCTGGTACCGACATTGGAGAGTGGATATTATTAATATATATTTTAAAGAGCATTTGTCGCAAGTTTAAACGAAAATTGATTAATTAATGTTAACTTTTTTGTTTGACCCATACAAAAAATAGCGACATTGTGTTATCAGCCCTAAACGGGATATTTTTTTGGTAAAATTCAAGCCCTCTAGACATTGTCTTCTGTACATTGTTATAACTTTATAGCCCATGTTTGTTCAAGATCCATTAGTACGTGTAGAAACATGTGTGGTATATGTCACAAATGACCATGCTCGAGAAGGGAGCGATGGGCGTGGGTGCCGCACAAAGGTACAATAGATTTGGGAATTGTTAGCCTGACATCGGCAGAGTTTATGGTAGACAGGGAAGAGACTCCGGGTAGACAGTGTGGTAGCGGGTATCACCAATGTTTTCGATTAACAAATTTTAGTTAGCAGGTGGAATGTTCACGAAGACCAGGGGTAGAGTTAGATTAATTATCAGTAATGGAAAATGTCTCAACGTAATAGCTGCTAATAGGTGGGTAAGGACATGGAATGGACGTCCGGTGGTAAATGATCTAGTCGGGGAATGTTGACTTTAAAGATGTGGCAATTCAATGACCGTGGGATGGTTAGCCACTAGAGTTTTATAGTTACACGACGGGTAAATATAAGGGAGAAGTTTTTCGAGACACAGCAGTTGGGGGTATAGCGGCAGTTGAGAGGTATATCAGTAGTGTAGAGGTAGAACAGTCGTGAGAGATCAGGAGACGACAGTTGACATAGGAATAGTTGAAAGGATTCAGTTGAACAGTCATAGCTTTAGAGATTCATAGAGATAACTGACAGTTAGTGAAGACTATAGAAGTAGTGCTTTATTATAATAAATATAGTCTATTTCATCATTGAACACCTTGAGTTTGTGTTGTTGGATTTTTTTCAAGTCTACGTCGTGCTTTTTTCTGTCCCAACGCCTAGATACCCACAATATAAATCACAGTGAGGAGTGGTCCAGAACTGACCACTACTAAGTCAATATAGTTTGTGACAAGTCAAGACCGGAGCCCTCCTCCGTAACAACCGTTCTGTGACGGTACAAACATAGATTTTTATAAAGTATATTGTTGATAGAATTATACAAGAAAGATATCATGATTAACTTTTAAAAGCTTACTAAGATATTTTTTTAAATATATTGAAGACATAGAACTAATTGAAAATCATTTTATATACATCGTTGAATACCGTTTTAATTTGAAAGTTTTCATTTATCATTGTCTTGCTTCTTTTTTTAACTGAAAAAATACCGTGCAATTATTGTTGCACTAACTTAATTTTACTGATTCTAATAATACATTTTTTATGATAAAATAGAATTTAGAATTACGTGATTTCTTTAAAATTGATGTCTTTATAAAAATATTTATTGAAATTGATGTCTCTATAAAAAATATGTATTGTGCCATCGTCATAAAATGAAGAAAATCAACCTGTGCCTTCTCTCTTTCAGACACAAACATGTCAATGACAAAGTTCGAGTACGTCTTTATATTGTTTGGTATGACAGGTTCAGGAAAAAGTTCCAGTGGGAACACACTGCTGGACCGTGATGATTGCTTTGAAACTTCAATCTCTTTTAATTCATGTACACGTGCAGCTGAACTGGCATGTAAAGAGTTCAGCGAATACATCATTAATGTAGTGGACACACCTGGGATCTTTGATACCGATCAAACTGTTGCACAAACATTAGAAATCATCTATGAAGGAATAAGCCAGCTAGTCGATGGAATTTCCGCTTTTTTATTTGTGCTGAAACTAGGCCAAAGATGCACCAAAGAGCAGAATGAAACAATCGAAGCATTTAAAAGATCATTTGGTGATTCATTTGTCAAGAATCACTGCATTATCGTTTTGACGGGAGGGGATCTTTGTGGAGATCTCAATAACGACAACATTCAGGAGTGGTGTAGAAGAACAGAAAACATTAGAGACGGCTCTGATCTTAAAAAATTGATGATAGAGTGTGACTACAGGGTGGTTTTATTTAACAATAAAGATAAAACAAAACGGGATGCCAGTGTCGACAAACTATTGAATTATTTTCACCCCCAGGCTCCTCGTTATACAAATGAAACTTTTCAAAAATGCATCGATGCCAGAAACGAATATGTCACGAATTTGGGTTTTCCAGGACAAAGAAGTGATATTCAGAGACAGCTCAGCCTTCTTGAAAACGACTTTGATGCCATGTATCAAAATAAAGGCGAAGGCGAAATGGATCAGATTAAAGATCGGGCAAAGAAATTGATGGAAACAGTACAAAATGCTTCAGCAGGCACCCACAAAATGGATGACCTCAAGTTCAGAATCAATCAAATCATAGAGAAAACTGGAAAGATTCCTGAAAATGGAGAAGCACGCATGAAAGCGATACAAGACTTAAAAAACGAAGTCCGTAAGTTGAAAGTTGCAGGGATCTCAACAACTGCGTTTTCAGTAATTGTAATCGGTGGTGTAGGGGCGTTATTGTCGGTCAGTGTTTTACCAGCCGCTTTGGTCGGAGCTGCAGCCCTTGGTGTCTTAACTATCGCTGGTCATGCATTTTACGCCATTGGGAAAAAAATCAGAGAGACTGCAAAAAAATTAGAGTCCAAACCAAATGATGATGAAAAAAAAGAAAAATGAATCAAGATCCACCTTAGACTTTATTAAAATAATTATTTCAAAACAAGCAATAGTTAAAACTGTTGTGAGATTTTCTAATACGAGACAAATTTTATATTTTTAAGGAGTTTAAATACACTTGACCTCAAACAAATATTGTAAAAGATTTTTTAAAAATTATAAATGTAATTTCCAAATTAGATTTTAAAATTAAAAATAAATAAATGGAGTAGCAAATTAATACTTTTAAAAAATTCAGTATATAAATGGATACAAGATATTTACATGATGAATAATAATAAATAATAAATGTTTATATTTATTATATTAATTAACCAGTATAAGACCTCACAGCAAAATTAATTGGTTAGTCCACCTGATAACATTGCCGGTAAAACAGTGTTCATTAAAGCCAAAAATTCAAAAAAAAAGGACATCAAATGTTCATGGCCCGATGACTGTCAGGCCTCAGTGTCCTCAACATGAATCTCCTACACGCCTTGCACCTTGCAGCATTTCATCGAGGCTCCTCTTTGATAGATGGCCGAGAAAATAAAATATGGGAAGGAAGGAAACTGCGTAAACCATTTGTGAACACATTTTGTGTTTCAAAATAATAGGAATATAGTTTTTTTTTTTCTTCTTTCAAATAACATTTCTTTTTTTTTTTTTTTTTTTTTTACATTTCCTTTAAAAATGGAAAGTTAATTTTTTTTTTTTTTTTTTTAATTTATTTTTTTTTTTTTTTTTTTTTTTTTTTGACATATCCATTCAAAATGGCAAGTTAACTTTTTTTTTTTTTTTTAATTATAAAGTACATTCGAAAGTTTGCAAATATTATTTGGCGTCATTCAGTCCGGTTTCCTGTCTACTATCACCTTTATTAGTAAAGTTGGTCTTTCTGTCTTTTCTTTGTGTTATTTTGGCAGACGAAGGCTTCTTAAACGAAAACGTCCGATGTTTTGTTATGTAATCTCTTTTTTTAAGTTTTGCCCCTAATCTGTACGCCATATTTTTATATAGTTTTTATTTTAGACCTTTTAGTGCTTGACTACTCAGAAAAGTGTATTTATCAGGAGACAATTTGTACAACTTGTTCAACATATTTTACCGGAAGGGATTTGTTTGTTGCTTATAAATATCACATTCCTTTTAAATATCTGCTTATAATCTTTATTATATATAGATTTATTAAAAAATTCACATTTTATGAATTTAATGGCAGTCTTTTCGGTGCTTTTAAAGATAAACAGGCATTATTTTGTATTTTTCAGAACAGATCCACATAATTTTATAATATGTTTAATCGATTCTATTTCCTGATATACAAACTAGGCCGCGCGAAAGTAAGGGGTGAAGGGGCCACTCGCATTGTATGCCAAAACCAGGGGGTGCTAAAATCTTTCTTAGATGGGACCTTAATTATACACTAAACAATAAAATACAATGTAGCTTTCAAAGTGAAGTGGAGCGAAAATAGTAGTTTTATTTTTCCGTCCCGATTTGCAATTTTGATCTAGATATTGGAGGTCGGCATATTTAGTCCTCCCCACCCAGGGTTTCTCTCAGCTATATCTCCGGGAGGGCACTCCCCCCCCCCTCGGGGAAAGCCATGTGCCCCACACGGAGCAAAAATACGCCCAACAATAAATCAACTGGCACTGCCCCCCTCGCCCCCCAAAAAATCAGTAAAAATTTCTGAAATAATCACTGCCTCCACCCCCCCCCACACCCAGGGTTTCTCCCAGCTATATCTCCGGGAGGGCACTCCCCCCCCCCTCGGGGAAAGCCATGTGCCCCACACGGAGCAAAAATACGCCCAACAATAAATCAACTGGCACTGCCCCCCTCGTCCCCCAAAAAATCAGTAAAAATTTCTGAAATAATCACTGCCTCCACCCCTCCCCGGCGAGCCACTTTTCCTCGGCACGCCTCTGTAAACAAACAAGTGTTGAATGTATTTTTGAAGCTATGTTTAGTCAATGAACCAGTTTAGTTTTATTTTAACTAAAACGATTGTCTCGTGTAACTGAAATTCATGCTAAAGAGATTACAGTGATTGTATTTTAAAGATTATGTAAAAGGGATGATCAAGACATAACGGTAAAGATGTTTTTTTCTTTTACTTTAACGAATACAAAATGTTTGCAATAACTCTATGCTCTAAAGCTGGTTGGTTTTCTGTTCGATATCTCAAGTCTGTTTCTTGTGGTTTGAGAAATATTTTTCTGACTGTTATATTATGTTTTATACTTTCTTATATTTTTATTGACACTATGTCGACAGGTGCTTCCAACCTTATTAGATTTAGGTGGGGTATGTGACTAAAAGGTTTAGTTTTTAAATAGTTGTAGTTTCTTTTTGTAATGATGGTGTCATTGTTGTTAAAATATTGTTGCCTCTGCATGAAGAACCATACAAAAACTTCTAAAACCAGCTGTGTTATACAAAGTTGAAAATAGATCTCTCCCACAATAGTCAGTTTGCTTCTTGGAAAACAACTAACTATGAAGATTGTTAATGAAACTGGATAACTTTTATAGTATTTACATTTTAAAAAATATGACAGGACGGCTTTAAAAAAGAACCTTTTTTGATTTGGAAGTGTTTTCCCACATTGTATTTACATAATAAACGTATATAAAAGTATATAATCCGCTAGTTATAAGTTTTGTATACACCTATGACATGATTTGTACATAAAGCAATATATTACTTATCTATAGTAGTTATTCTATATTCAGATATTCATCACAGATACTAACTTAGAATCGGCCCATCTGGGGCGAATTTTTTTTCACAGGGCGAGGACTGAAAAAATAAACATTCGTTTATTCCCCAATCTGTACGAATTTACCATCTTGCTCACCCAGAAGTCACAAAATATAATGAGAACTAATTAAGTATCTGTTATGACTAAGGGTGTTCACTGAATGGCTGTTCTTTTTCAATAGAGAAATCATTTAATGTAGATGTCTTGTATTTGAATTGTTTTAGTTGGAAAATATGGACTTTATTAACATATGTATGTTTTATGTGCTGAAAATATTTATGTACAATGACATAAAAAATGTCTATTTGTTTGGAACAATAAAAAAATCTTATCTTATTTGAAACTAAACGCCAAATACAATGAAATTTATATTTTTTTAATAAATTAGAGTCTCAAGTTACAATTTCGTAGTTTGTTTTGAGTTGCTTGATACCATCCACCAGATGCAAAGGATGTCCTTTTGTTCTCTAGTCTCAACACCTTCCCACCTCTAAGGGTAGTTTTAAAGGTATGGGACGTTTCCTTTACACCTTTCGCAATGATATCTAAGCCATTTGTTTGTACCCGATGCCATTGGGCGTATCTGGGCGAGGCTGGTTCGTCGTCTCTCGGACACGTGTATTGAACACCTTTGAAATATTGCTTAAGATAAACAGTGTGACATCTCAAAACACTTCAACATTGAAGATCACAAAAGCTTCTGTGACGGCCTGCCAGGGGTTCAAACTAATACAAACTTGTAGACGTTGACATCTCATGGCACGAATGTAATGTTCTCCTTCATTTGTTAAATATTTTCCCCAACCCCATCACTTTTCCCCCACGCTCATCCCCTGTGGCCTATATGAACTCGCTTACCTATTTATTTACATTTCTCTTGCCATCCTGTCGGATACTATTTTTTAGCTACTCATTTGTTTTAGAATCTAATATTTATGTTACTCGTTGTTTGTTCGCCAAAGAAGAAAACTTGCTTATACATTCATTGTTTTGATGCGCCTTTTTCGGGTTTCCTCATGCGTAGCTCACGTATTTCCTTGATGGTGTGGTTTGTGTGTCTGGGGTTTGTTGGGGTGACAGTCATATTTTAATGGTGGTAGTATGAATGATTTAGAGTAGCTTTAGGGACTGGATGTAATTATAAGCTGATTTTTTTTTAAAAACAGATGCTTCTTGGACAAGGTTTCAGCTATCTAACATGTTCACTCCTGAATTATTATTAATGTGATTGATGCAGGGGCCAGGCAAAGTGCTATTTATGCCTGGTTTACAGTATTTCATTGAATTTTTCTCTCACTATTTCTTTAATTTTGGCAGTTATGAATGGTCTCATTAAAGCCACTTTCCATCAGTTGTAATGGCGAAAATGCAACACAGAGATTTGTATCCATCTTTCCCGTAGGTTTTGATTAAAGTTTCATTCTGTAGCCAAAACTCAAAGAAAATTGTAAATCTATAAAGTTTTCTCAAGATTCTACCATGATACCCAATTACATCCATCTCTTGCATCTCGTCCTTCTCTTCTAGCTCAGATGGTCTAGGCATTATGTATAACTCAAGATCGTCATACAGCGTTTGAATAGATTTCAATTTTAAACCAAAGTAATTGGGGCATTCTCGTTTTAAAAAGATTGATCTCATTCACGTAACAATTTTACTGCTGATTCATTTTACTAAAATTAAGCAAAAATGTCTTGAGGTATTTAAAGAAAGTCGAGTGTGATGGCTTTGGAGTCAGAACAAACAAAAACAATTATAAGATAATTATTGATAATAGAGCTCTTTATTTTCAACTAAAAAGTATACAGTTCATAATAAGTAAATGAAATATCAGAAAAATGTATGAACAAGTTTATAACAATCAATAAGCAGGAAAACAACATTTTGTGAGCGTTTCGGTTAAATGCCTTCTTCGGCGAACAGGATAAATGCAATTATTATCATAATAAGAATACAGTTCATAATTTCCAAAAAGCAACAGCTTCCCTGACACAAAACTCAGACGATTCGAGTAATACCCTAACACTATAGACGATCCTCAACAACAACAACAACACACCAACAGCACTCAAACACTATAGACGACCCTCAACAACTTAACACACCAGCAGCACTCAAACACTATAGACGATCCTCAACAACAACAACACACCAACATCACTCAAACACTATAGACGATCCTCAACAACTTAACACACCAACAGCACTCAAACACTATAGACGACCCTCAACAACTTAACACACCAACAGCACTCAAACACTATAGACGATCCTCAACAACTTAACACACCAACAGCACTCAAACACTATAGACGATCCTCAACAACTTAACACACCAACAGCACTCAAACACTATAAACTATCCTCAATAACTTAACACACCAACAACACTCAAACACTATAGATGACCCTCAACAACTTAACACACCAACAACACTCAAACGACTCAATCACAACTGTCCCTTACACAACCGTTCACAAACTCACGATCCACAACTGGGTCATACACATCCACAACACGCCCATAAACCAGATTATAACAGCGATATTTCAGGGAAGGAGGTTCGTGCTTCGAACTGTAATTTGTTGAAATTGAGGGAGTTTTGCTCTAGTCGTCAGCCACTCTCTCGCGTCTTTGTCTATAAATGTGGCAAGACTTTTTTTTAGCCGAAGACTAGAACTTGTTATTTTGACAGACTATTTAAGAAACATTTTTATGTGAAGGGCAGTGATGATAGCCTTACGTTGGGGTACTGCGCTATATAATAAAATCTAATAATTAATAATAGATTAACCCAACTGTGAAACGTCCATCCATCAAATTCCAAAAGAAGGCGACTTTTTTCTCTTTGAAA